TTGCACTATCGCGTCTCAATGATCTAGTGTACATTAAGTACAATAGAACATTGAAACGTCGTTATGATGCTCGTGATCTCATTGATCCAATTCGCTTGGATAACATTGATGATTCAAATGAATGGTTAGTTGGATGCCCCGAAGATCAAGAAGATGAACTAGTATATGAGGATGATGATCTTACTTGGGGTAGTGTTGCTACGGCAATTGGAGCTGATGAGAGTATCTATCATCTTAGGGGACTTTCTTCAAGATCAAGAGCACTTGACAAGGGCAAAGGAGTAGAAACTTCATCTACAAGTTCAACTTCAAGTAGGACTCGGACACTAATTGATGAAGACTACGAGGAGGAAGAAGATGAGGAGCAATATAATGATGTAGAGGATGTTGATCTTCAAGAGTTGGATAGTTTTGAAGAAGAATAGATTTTTAGAGTTCTAGTATAATCTTTTGAATTATTGGGTCTTTCAAGTTCTAGACTTTTAGTATCTACTTTTTGTTTTTGAATTGAAATATTTGCTAATATATGTTATTGCTATTGAGATTTTGGATATTTATATATGCAATTAAATATTTTTAATTTTTGGTATTAATTGGCGCCTTGATTCAAAAAGGCGATCGCCTCGCCGCGTGGCGAGGCAGGCCCTTGTCGCCTTTTGTCGCCTCTCGCCGTCCGAAACACTGCTTTCCATTGATCTAGACTTCCTCATTATTTCAAGTATCAACCTAGCAGTTCTTTGACCATTCAGATATTTTTGCTGGCATTGATATGAATTACGTGATATATGGCTAGAAACAAAGGGATCGTGCGGATGAATCTTTGCAAAAAATTCTCCAATCAAAGTGCTTGACATAAGAAAAATCAATGAACCATACAACAGCAACAAATAGGGAATAGAATAGCAACAAAAGTTACCTGCTTATAATGTGCTCTGGTTCGCTCTTCCTGAAAATTGCAGAGAAGTACTTGTGTTACTCAAAGAATCAAATCAACAAAAGAATTACATACGGAAAAGCAGACAAACACATAGTGGAAATATTAAGTGCTTTCAAAATGTTACAGTACTGCTCAAACTCGATTGTCAAATGTTACAGTCAACCCTTTTCTAGCTAAGATAAGTTCGACCTCATCACCAAGCACATCCCCCCCCCCCCCAAAATGCCTAGTCAAGGACCATGAAGAAGCAATGGTTACTTAATGCATCAGTAAATAATTACCCTTATAAGCAGTGGCGTACGCAAGATTTTTCGTAAGCGGTGTCACATTTTAAAATGAGAACAAGTAAATAAAATAATGTAACAACATATTAAATAGGAACAAATTATATATAAAAGGCAACTCATGTATATTAATACCTCTTCTCGATGAGTTTTTTCGTTTTCTTAACTGTATTCAAAATAGTACCAAACACTTTTATATAGGGCATCAAACTATCACTAAATAGTTCATTTAATTCCACAAATCATTCTTAAATCAATATCATTGGAAAGAAAGAAGATGAAAGGAAAGAAGAAAAGAGAAAACATACAGCAACACAACAAATCAGGGAAGAAGCAACATCTTTCTCAATACATAAAATACGCTAAAGTTTCTTGATGCAACTCTGGAGTAATTGGTTCAACATTTTGTTAACTACCAAGAGGTCAAAGGTTCGAATCTGGACATGTATCACTTTGTAGATTGAAGCGCAAAAACTTTAAACACTACATCAGGCCACCAAGATTAGAACTAGTGACACCTTTGTTGAAAACTAAGGCCCTGACAAAATGAGTTGTGTGGCTCTTTGTGTCAAGCAGTGTCATTTTACTCAATTTATCCTCTATTTTTGTTTTGGCTTTTATTATATATATATTTAGTAAATTTTTCCAACCAAGCAGTGTCACGTGACACTGCTTGACCTAAGGTAAACCCAACCATGTTTACAAGGAAATCACCCATTACTTCTATCTAGTCTAAAAATGTTTTTTTTTTAAATCCAAAGAAAGCAACTTTAATTTTCATGAGACTGCTCACCATATGAAAACAAACAGTATAAGATTATATGCTTTCAGCTACTATCCAACTAACAACAGAATAGGATGTAATATTTGATGCTCATAAGTCATACCATTTTACAGAAGGCTAACTATCCTCAAAAATATTATAAGCAAATAGTTTTTTTAGGCAGTCCAAGAAGAACAGAAGACCATCATTGAACCTCCACTTCAAGATCACCAATACATCAATATTTCCCAAAGTATTTTTACAGTCATACCAATATTCCATTTGCATATATTGGTCCTTTCATATATCTTTGGAAGCGCTCATAATCAAGTAAGAGTTTTTTTAATGGGCTGCAGAACGAAAAATAATTCCCGTACAAAATTACATATGATTTATAGTACAATGTTCCATTTGCAACATAAAAGTTTGCATTACCAAGGTAATCTCTGAATAACTCACAGATTGTTTTGGATGGTTGTTACATGTTGTACTATATTGTATTGTTAGTTTAGATACAATGTTTGTTTTGATTGTTACTTAAATTTTATTGTATCGTATCGTTAAATCCATCATAGGTAATGATGAAAAGTTCCCTTTTGTGAAACGATAGATTTGGTGTGATCACGTCGTTACCCTTTTTTTCTCTCATTTTGTCTTTACTTATAATTTAATAATACTATTTTTTTTGAGAATAAAAAAAAAATAGTATTATTAAATTATAAGTAAAGACAAAATGAGAGAAAAAAAGGGTAACGACATGATCACACCAAATCTATAATTTAATAATACTATTTTATCCTTTACCATACCTTTTTATAGTAGTTCTACCATATCCCCTACTTCTCTTGTAGGTTTATCCTTCAAATTGTTGATGTGTGATATATGTAATGATGGAAAACAATACAATCTATCCAAATGTTGTATTCATTAAAACTATGGAGTATAATATAATGACACATTATGAAACAATACATAACAACCATCCAAACAAACAAGGTTTGATTTATGATAAACTTTGCATAGCCTAAATTGGTTTCCGGCATTAAATATTGTATTATTAATATTGCCATAACTTATATATGTGAATAGAATGTAGAACGAGAGTATGTGTATTACCAACACCTGTATAAGAAGTATCTAAAGACAAAAATGTCCTAAATAAGACAATTCCAGTATAATTGTATTATTCATTGTAGGAAAATCCCTGCATTATTCATCCCATAACAAGCTCTACATATTAATTGTCGCATTACGATCCTTGTATTGTAGTCCCTACATAACTAGTTCGTGAAACGACCCTTAAATAGAAATTATGACATTTCCTTTGCCACCATTTCATATGACTTACAAGTTTATATAGAACATCCTAACATAAAAGCGTGTTTTTACTATGACATACAGCCATCGAGAACACAAGACAAAAAATATGGTTTTTTTTTTTGTTTTTTGCAAATAATAATACTCAATTCCCTTCGAGAACTGTAACCAACAATTTGCCACAATAAGTACTTGTAAATGATTGATAAGCACGACAATCCAGATGGTAGGATATAGTCCATCAGAAAGATCATACTTTGAACTAAAATCTTTGGAATAGATGAAACAAAATATCACTATATCATCCTCTTAGAAGTAGCATCCTGCACCTGCAGCACTACTGGAGAATCCCACTCTCAATTTTTCTTTTTACTTGGGAATGTTTTTATAATAAAGTGCTCATCTTTTTTTTACCAAAAGTCATGAAGATTGATTTTCATCAAGTTCACATAAGGAAGACTTTCCCCTCCTCAACCATTCTCCTTGTTCACCTATTTCATTGTTAATGCGCTTTTATTAGATCTAAAAGAAAGTGATTCAGTGAGCCTATGGAGACGACACATACAAATTTGAAAAATTATAGAAAAAATCGAAACTTGCAGCTGCAAAATTAGACTATTGGTGTGTTGTCTTTAAAATATATAACAGATGTGGCAGTAGACAAATGACTAATTCTTATTCGCTATGCTATGAAGCTGATATATGATATACCTAACCAATTGAATTAGCATTAAACCTTCATTCTCTGAGGGCTCGTTTGGTGTGAGGGATAAGCATAAATATTCCTGGGATAAAATTTAGATGTCTTGTTTGGTTGACATGTTTGGGATAACTTATCCCACCATTTATAGCATAGTGATGGGATAAGTTATCCCATATACATGGTGGGATACGTTATCCCAGGATAACTAACCCCAAGATAGTTAATCCTAGGATAACTAGTTCCCAACCAAACGACCCCTGAATGAATTCAGAGTCCCAGAACAAGCAATGCAAACAGGTATTTTTCCATATACCTTTATGCAAGTAATTCAATTGTCATCTTAAATTTAGACATAGGCCTAACTGCCGGAAAATATTAAAATGCATTACCTTCTCTTTCAACAGCTGTTCATTCTCCTCCTCTAATCTAACTGCTATTGACTCAAGTTCCACTTGATAAGCCTATATCCATAAACAAAAATCCAAATTCAGCTCGCACAATCAAAAAGCTAAATAGATGAAAAGATTAAGACTGATCACTTCAATTAGCAAACAATACATTTACCTGTTTCCGCTCTCTAGACCGGGCAGCTGACTCTCTGTTCTTAATCATCCTCCGCTGCCTCTGCAGAGTCGCCTTATCTAAAGGTTCCAAAATGGTTTTCCTCTTCCCTCTCCCACCTCCAATCACATCCATTCCATTTCCATATCCTTGCACGCTCTGCTGCGGTGTGGCCATGTATGGGGAATCAAATGCAAAAATTCCACCACTCAACCTCTCAGTTCCTAGTTCAACCTTCACCTCACCTTGCACTGGCCCCTGCCCAGCCAGTGCCTCCTCCTCAACTGCTCCAGCTTTCACCAGAAAATCCTCCAGCGTCATGATTTCATCCACTGCCTCCTCCTTACAGCCGGCAACTTCCGCTCTTCTCTGCTCCCTCTTCCCCTCCACAATTTCCCTCCACACATCATCCACCGTCCTCCTAACCAAAGGTACCCCACTCACCGTCGCTGTCTCGGAATCACTGATCGGCGTTATCGCTCCAACAGCATCAAGTAACGTAATATTTGCATTCAACAAAGTATTAGTCTCCGTCCCCTGACCTTCCCCATACACATTACGGAAAATTCCATCAACCGTCATGGAAGTCGCCTCCAAATTACTACTATTATTACTCCCGTTATTCGAATACTGCTGATTGTGCAAATCATTCGGTATCGTAGAGGATGAAGACGACGAGGCAGCCGACGATGTCCTTCGATCGGAATTTCGCGAGGCCGATGAAGCCATCAGCTTCGTTGACGCCATTTTCCGGCGGGGCAAAATCGTAAAATTGTTCTGGTTGGATCAAATCATCAAATGTGTATATACATAGAGGTTTGTGTAGGTGATGATTGTGTTGTGTAATGTGCGATGGGGAGAAGAGAAATGCCTAGGGTTTCGAATAATTAGGGGGTTTTGGGGATTTGAGGGAGAAAAGTGGGATTTTCAAAAATGGAGTTCCAGAATTGGCAAGGAGAGATAGAAGGAGAAGAAGAGGGTTCTGGCTTCCTTTTTTGCCTAAAATGGAAAAACGAGGCAACAGTTTTTTTTTTCATTCCCAAACGTCGTTTTGAATGTACATTCATGTCGTTTTGTCATTCTCAAAAAGTAAAGTAAGTTTACTTATTGACAAATTTTCGACTTTAGTCCATGTGATACTTGTAAATTGTAATGCTTATTTCTACATATATAGTTAAATTACATCAAGATTTTTTTTAACATAGACGAGTCATTAAATAATTTAAATAAATATCTTTTTATTTTCAAAAGTTTTAGTTTTATATAAAAAAAAATTATGTCAATAAATTTTATTTAAAAAATTAATACTTAAATAAGTTGAGTGACTTTCAAATATGATTATGAAGATTGAAGTTGATGAAAGTTAAGTACATAAAAGAAATTACTATGATTGTGTGATTTGAAAATGAAAACTCTCGTTCTTTCTTATTATTGGTGAGTGTTTTTATGTGATCTTAATTCTAACATTTATGTTTAGGGGCGTACCTACGTGGTTGTCATGGCCTCATGCAGGGCGGACCCACGTGGGTTCCAGGGGTTCACCCGAACCCCCTAGGCAAAAAATTACACTGTATATATAAGGTAATCTTCTGTATTTATATAGATATATGTATTTTGAACCCCTTTAATGACAAGGAGAAACTAATAGTCCAGCGGTAGGTCCCCTTGAAACTAACCTTTATGTCAGTCAAGGGTTCAAATCCTTGTGTTAGCGTTTTATTTTTTTATTTTTTAGTTTCAGTTTTTATTTTTTTATTTTTAAATTTCAGTTCCGTTTTTCACATTTTTTTAGTTTTTTATTTTATAAAACATGCTAAAAGTGTGATTTTAAACCCAAAAAAATCCCGCCACTAAAACTATATACTACTACTTCCTTGAAACTTTGTTTTGTTGGCTTATATATACATTTATACTTTTTTTTTTCGAATCACCTGAACGAAAATTCTGAATCCGTCACTGACCTCATGGGCCCTCTCGATAAAACATTAATTGTATATATAGAGAAGATTGTCTATATATTGGTGGAAAAATTGTATATAATAGCAAACTATTAATTCAAATTAAATGCTATAAATATACTTTGATTTAATTGTACCCTATAACAAACTATTGCTATTTTCGCCACTCTCCCTGGTGGAATCTCGCTCGCTACTCTCGTTTGGTGGCAGTCTTGCTCGCCTCTCTCACTTTATACAAAAACGCAAATGTATAAAATGCGTTTGTGTTTGTATAAAACGAGAGAAAATTGTATATATACATATATTTTCGTTCCCCTCTCTCCCCTCTCCCAGATCTCGCTCGCTCACTCGCCTCTCTCACTTTATACAAATAGAAACGAAATGTATAAATTGCACTTCTGTTTGTATAAAGCGAGAGAAAATTGTATATACACATGCAAATACATATATCTTTGTCCTATACACTTATAATTATATAATACAAATATTTTCCTGCCCAATTTTTTTGCCTTTCTCTCTTTCTCGTTTTATACATACACAGATTATACAATTGCTCTTTTGTATACAAACTGCTTTCTTTGTATATGTATAGCGAATTATACAACTGTTTTTTGTATATGTATAGTGAATTATACATATATATGTTTGCTATGGAGCGCAATTATGCAAACTTTGCTATAGCATACAAATATAAATTTTGTGTTTGTTATATGTGAAAGTTGCTCTATATTGGTACACATGTTGATTTTGAACTACCTAAATCAAAGAAGAGAGATAGCCTAGTGGAACTAGACTGGCCCAACTTGGACCGCGAATAAAAAAAGTATTAAATAATTTCATAAGTTGACATGTTATATCATCAACTTTTTCATTGAAGGTTAGATTTTGAAGATGAAAAAGAAGTGCAAGAAATGCATATGCTAATGTGTTTGTTTTTTTTTAGGGAAAAGACATAAAATCCCCCCTGAATTTGGCACGAAAATTTACTTTAATACTTAAATTACACGGGTGTTTATATACCCCCTAATTTAATTTGAATTTAATTTAATTACCCCTTAGAGAGTGGCGTGGCAAAATTTGTATCACCAACTTTTCATAAGCGTGGGAGAAAGGAAAAGACACCAAAAAACTGACACATGCCTTCTTTTTATTGGATAACATACTTAATAACTTATTTTACTAATTTTTAAATTATTTTATTTTGAATTAACTTTTTCTCTCTATATTTCTTTTTCTGCATCTTCTTCTTCTATTTTTTTTTCTCTTCTCATAACTCTTTTCTCTTTTTATTCTTTTCATTTAGTTCAAGTAAACATTTACTTCCAAATATAACTTCTTACACATTTCTTCTTCTTCTTTTCTTTTCTATTTTTAATCATTTCTTCTTTTTTTTACAATTTTTTTGGTGTTTGATTCACCCACCATTTTTGACATCAAAGAAGATTATTAGACATATCAGTTTAAAGCGTTATCAGAATGAAGTTGACTTCCATTAAAAAAAATCAAAGATATTATTGGCAAAAGATTAACTATGGAGATTTCGCCCAATTCATTAATAATTTTTCATTTTTATGCAAATAATTTTTTAGATATTTGAGGAAGGTGGTATCGTATAACTAAACTGAAATTGCAATTGAAATTTGAATTATAGTTTGTATATTGAGGAGTAAATTCATTGATGGGTTTAATTTTTGGCGCAATATTTTAAAAAAACAATTATTATGGAGATTTAAGCAATTAATTAGGAATTTTGTTAATGTACACGTGGACGAATGAAAACGCGTGTGTCTCAACAATACTCAACCTTCAACTGGGCTGGTGATGGGAGGGTTGAAAAAAATCACTTAAAAGATGCTTATGGGGTATATAAACACCCGTGTAATTTAAGTACTAAAGTAAGTTTTCGTGCCAAGTTCAGGAGTTTTTTATGTATTTTTCCTTTTTTTTTAATCAAAACAACAATAAGGTTATTTATTTAAAAGAACGCAATTAAAAATAAGGAGAAGAATCTCCAAAATCAATTGTAGTGATCTTATTTTTTGATAATTTATATTACGTACCCCATATTTGGTAGTTAAGCAAACATGCAATGGTCAAGATATGTCCATCTTATTATAGATGAACTGATTGAACTAATTAATCGTTACTTTGAATTCCATTTATTATCGTTATTTTCAAAGTTATTACAAAGTGATGTTGTTTTCTTTTTCACGAATCGATATTATTATTTTTTCCTATTAACGTCCTGAAAGAAAAATAGAGAGGGTACGATTCCACTAATTAATATTATTATATATATATATATATATATATATATATATAT